TGAATGCTCTCCAGGTAAGCTAGCTCATTATCAGTGATATCAACACAAATGGAGAAAAACAATCCCGCATACCGCCTGTAAACTGCAAAAATATAAAATGACTACCTTCACTGGCTTATGCAATACCACATAGTGAAGGCATTAATATTCATAAACACATGCAGTTGGCATTCAAGATAATAAAACTCATAGTGGTCTAAGCTGCCATCAAAGAAACACCTGAAATGGCTTTCTTTTTTTTTATTTTGAAAGAGAGTTCTTGCAATAGCAATTTTCTATGATAATGTTATTCTATGATAACACTGAAGTATGCGGCCCTTCAAACTTTAGTAACAATGATAGATAAGATGTAGCCAAAGTAAATTTGATGTTAGCATACAAATTGGGGGTGCAAATGCGTGAGGCTGGCCTCAAAGGCCCTGCCATATGTGGGCTGGGTTTGGGTACCTTTATAGGGGCCATCATGCCCTTATTAAAGGCTCGTTAGCTTAATAGGCGGGGCCCAAGATTTAGTATTAAGGGCCCATGCCCTTATTTTTTTTTTAAGATGTTAACCTTTAATTAATGAAAGTAGAGTACATGAGAGAGGTCAGGCAGTCCACAAAAGTAAGTGGAAGCACTGGAACCACAGAACGAAAAAAAGAAAAAAGAATTCACAAAAGACTCAACCGGTGATAGCCATCTGTTATGGTTACAAAGTCAGTGAGTCCCCTGAAGTAAAAGGGCTAGGTCGAACTCTAGAGGTCGTTAGCAGCAGCCGCTTCTTTAGTCAGGGTGTCCACCTCTTGGTTGGCCTCCCTCCAAGTATGCTTCCAGCAGACAAGAATATCCCTGCTCAGGAAGTTAATCTCCTCAAAGATGTGAGCCAGGGACCACGGAGGTGGAGATGACTTGGATGCTCACAATTTAACATGCTTGGAGTTCCCTTCTATAGTGAGGGAGTGAATGCTTAGGGTTTGGATGAGCATGCTTGATGCCTTCTACCAAGGCAATGGCCTCTGCTTCCGTAGAGTCCGCATGGCCAATAGGCTTGGATATATAGAGCACAGTTGAACCAGTGTGGTCTCTAAGAATGGCTCCAATGCCTGATGGGCCGGGGTTTCCGAGAGAACATCCATCAACATTTAAGCTTGAGACTTCCCTGGTCAGGAGGAATCCATCGGGGGTTCCTCAAGGGACGTTTGCTCTTGCGTTGTAGGACCGAAATCCAATCCTGGACCAAAGCATTAGAACGAACCCCTTTGAAGAGGTCTAGGAAGTGGAATTCTTCGAAGAGGAATTCTTCGAAGTGGCTTTATGGCTTTATGGATGACCCCTCTAGAGTGGAATTCTTCGAGGAGGTCTAGGAAGTCCGTTCTGAACAAGTCCCAAAAAGGTTTGAAAGGTGCCACAGGGAACCCATCAGGACCGGGGGCCCTGTCCGATTCAAGATGGCTGCCAAGATTTCAGTTTCTGAGAAGGGGTGTTCCAGCCAAGTAGATTTCTCGGGTGGCAGGGAGAGAAAAGACAGATCCCCCATGGTGGGTCTTGGGCCTGTAGGGGTAGAGAAAAGTTTCGAGAAGTAATTCAAAAGGGCTTGTACGATCTGTGAGGGCTGATCTAGCAGGATATCATCTACTAGGAAATGAGTGATGGTGTTATCACTTCTCCTACAATTTGCAGTTTTGTGAAAGAAGCTTGAGTTCTGGTCTCCAGCCTTAAGCCATTTAATCAGGGATCTTTGGTGCCAAAAAATTTCCTCCTTCTTGAGGGTGGCCTGATAGTCTGCTTTGCGTTGCACTCTACTCAAGAACTCATATTCTAATAGAAGCCTTGATTCTTCCAGTGAGTCAAGATCTTGTATGGCTTGGAACGGGTGATTCTTGCAAAGTTGCTAGCCACGGGTGATTCTTGCAACTTTGAACTCCACGAGTTTAGGTTGCTCTTTATCAGCTGTAACTTACGTCGAAGTTTAAAACCAGCCCAACCGACGACCTTATCTTCCAGAGCTTGCCACCAAGAGGTGAACAGAGTGGGGAAGGAAGGTTCTTCTAACCAAAACAATTCGAACCGAAAAGGTTCGACACCTCTAACAGCAGGATTGGTGTTAAGCAAAATGGGACAATGGTCGAATGTGGGTTTGGGTAGGGCAACCACATGAGTTCCAGCAAGGGTATGATCCCAATCCACAGAGGTGAGGAATCTATCAAGTTTTGAATGAGTGGGAGATGTGGAATGGTCCGACCATGTGAACTGGGCAAGTCAACTAGGTTGTTCTGGAAGATGAAGTCTGAAAAAAAGGACATGGCTGGAGTTATTCTGGAGGATGAGTTTCTCCCATAAGACCACCTTGTGACATTAAAGTCCCCCCCAATGCACCAAATGGGGTGTGGTAAGGCAGCCACCGAGTTGAGCTCATCCCACATCTCCTGGCGTCTAGAGTCAATATTGGGCCCAAAGACTGCAGAAAATTTCCAAAGCAAGCCGTCAGAAATTCTGGCCAGCAGAATAGAGACCGAGAAAGAGGTAATGTGGGCAGAGATGAGGGAATGGGCTAAGGGATCCCAAATCACCCATATCCCACCTGAAGCCCCTTCTGCTGGTAAAGCGGCCCATTTGCATGGGCGGCGACCCCATACTTGTCGAACGAAGAAGAGAGATGATTCAGGGATCTTTGTTTCCGTTAAAGCCAGGACAAAAGGTCGAAATTTTAAGCAAAAATCTTGGACCGATTGTTTCTTGTGGGCCAAGCCAAGCCCTCAAATATATCAAGAGAGAACAAACATTAAGCTTATGTGGTCCGAGATGCTAAACGAGGTAACCTACGAAGCAATCCGTCCGCAAGTAACACCACTGGAATAGCTGAAGAGAGGGGAGGGGGGATGGAGGTTCTGCCAAAGTTGACAGAGCATGCGAGGTTGGAAGCCTCCCTACTAGGCCCTGGGCTATCCCTGGATCTGGTTTGAGCGCTAGCATTGAAGAACTCATGGAGCGATTCTTCTGGGGCAGCATAAGGAAAACCCATGACCATGAACACCTGGTTAATGTCTCCTTGAGCTGCATCCATACGATTGACAAAGTTGGAATCACTGAAGGCAGAGACAGGTGATCCTTTGACGTGTCCTGAGAGACCGAAAATTTCAGAGCAATTGGAGAAGGGGTAGCCTCTGGAGAGAAAACCTCAACAGGAGATTTTGTGACTGAAAGTCTTGGTAGATCGAGCAATGGCAAGCCAGCTTCCAAGGTTGGTCTAAAGAAGGCCGAAATCGAGCCTTGAGGGTCCTCCTCAGCAGGGACCTCATGATTCAAAGTGGGGGATTGAGAGATAAGGGTGAGTTTGATGATCGAGGGAGGAGGGAGCAAAGGTGGGTTAGGTACAAG